TTTTTACGGGGGAGTGGCTGATGTTGAGGGTACGTCCACGTCGCATGTTCGTAATTTTGGCGAAGGGACAAGCTCAACAGTTAGAGAATGCGATAATGAGGGTGATGATGATTTCGTTCGCGGTGAAGACGATTTCACAGATGATACCTCGGAAACAGATAGATCAATAAACGAGGAGAGTGAACCAGAATTTATTGAAGAACACCCATTTCCTAGTACCGGTCAGCACGTGTATCGCGAGATGGGTGAGTGGGACCCGTCGTGTGTAGACCGTGATGAGTATGCCTTGCCATTGTGGGATGGGCATGTCGATACTATCCGTTTGGGTACTGTTTTCCGATCCAAGAAAGATGCACGGATGGGTATCATGAGTTGGAACGTTAGTAGGTTGAGGGAGGTTAAGACAACATATTCGAATAAGAAAACATTCAAGGTGGTGTGCACATCTAACGAAGATGAACCTGGATGGCTCGGGTGACGCACTGCACACGGGTTCATGAAATGTGGGAAGTAAGAGAATGGACTGAGAGGCACAGTTGTATGCAAGAAGTCGAAAAAAATGACCACAGAAATGTAACCGCCACAATGATTTCACATCTTATCATGACCAAGATTCAAAAGAAACCCGACTACAGTGTTACCCTGATCCAGGAGGATGTTAAAAAATGTTGGAAAGTCGATGTGAGCTACAAGAAGGCATGGCACGGGAGGAAAAAGGCCATCGATCGTTTGTATGGCACTTGGGAATCGAACTTCGCACAACTCCCTCAGTAAGAAAAACGCTTATTAAAAATGTACGTGTTATTTGTCACTATGTTTTTGTATTGACGATTACGTTTTGGTAACGTGCAGGTTTTTTGCGGCGCTTCAAAGTGCGAATCCCACTATGGTTGTAGAGTGGGAATGGCAAGGTGGGGAAATGGCGGCCCACTATCAGCACAGAGAATTCAAATTTGTTTTCTGGGCGTTTGGTCCCGCCATTCAAACCTTTCAGAGATGCCCGCCGGTAATTAGTATGGACGGCACACATTTGCGTGGCTCGTACAAGGGGAAGTTGCTCGTGGCCGTTGCACAGACTGCGAATAAGCGGCTATTGCCAATTGCCTATGCGATTGTCGATGAAGAGAGCCAGGAAAGCTGGTCATTTTTCCTGACAAATCTCCGGCAACATGTTGTCGGCAACAGACAGATATGCTTTCTTTCGGACAGGGATGCGGGCTTACAGAGTGCCGTGGAATCATTGGAAGCTTGGCAAGAACCCGCTGCATATCACCGGATTTGTCTTCGACACCTTCGGAGCAACGTGGTTACTAGGTACAGGAATAACAAAATCCGAAATTGGTGTTGGGAGTTGGGTTCACAGGTTTCAGAGAAAAAATTTGAACAGATACGATCGCGGCTTTGGGATTGTAATCCGGACGCATACAATTACTTGTTCAAAATTCCTCTGGACAAGTGGACCCTGTTTGGAGACGGTGGACGTAGATGGGGTACTTTGACAACTAACATGTCCGAGAGTTACAACAACGTCCTGAAAGGTGTTAGGTTCTTGCCCTGCCGAGCTTTGGTACACGCCACATTCATGAAAACTCTGTACTTGTTTGAGCAGGAACAGAAGAAGGCCACGAGATGCAGTAATGCCATTGCTAGTGTCCACTATGCCGCTTATTGCGAATTGGAGAGTACGGCCGCAACTCATACGGTGCGATGTTCGAACGCGGAGAGATCCCTGTACAAGGTGACAACCGGTCTACGGGCTGATGGTAGAGGGGNC